GGTTGGTGCACCTTGGGTACCGTTTCTCGAGGAACTGCCAAATCATGTCGTGCACCAGCATACACGCGCAGTAATGGATTTCCTCGCGCCTCGCGAACACCTTGCTTCAAAGGAGGGTGTAGTTGGACCTTGCTGCCCGGCGGCCCGCCCACCAGATCGTTATTTCTGAGGTGAGCTTCTGGTGTAACTTCCTGCTTAAATGTAGAAGGTGAGATCAGCCTTGGGGTTTCGCAATCCACCATACCGCGCAGGGGGTTTTGCTTTGGCGAGCTGAAAATGCTTGCAACGAGCTCTCTATGCAAACTCTCTGAGTGGCCCGGTGTTTTTTCCTTGACACTGTCCGTCTCGTCTGAGTAAGGGGGAAAAGACAGCCTTTATCCGCCTTTGCATGGGGTGATCTATGCTGTGCCCGTGTGCGTTCGAGCGTGGTCCACTGTTTTTTGTCGCGCGAGCACCCTTCGCTGTGTCTGCCCTACGTGAGACGGATGGAGCGTGTCGCTGTGTGTGTTTAGGTAGTCTGTTTCAAGGAGCATGTGCCCAGGTGAGGTATGTTTTGGCGGCGGGATATGTGTTAAACTGTTAAACTGTTAAACAGATCGGTCCCAAGCGACTTGTCCGTTGACATACCGTGCCCGGGACTGTCCACACCGGAACGACTGCAGCAAGTTGATGTGACTTCAGTCGACGCGGTTTCGAGGATGGACACGGCAGCCAACGGATGCAGTGAGCTTCAACGAACAGTTTACCCAGGTGTGACTTCATGCGCGATCACGTAGCATAACCCGATCCCTCACAGTCACGCTCAGTCTGCATGCGTGTGTATTCCGAAGTTTGCCAGCCTAGGTTCCAGCACCCGAGCCCGTCACCGAGGCAAAGCCGCAGGAGACAATGGCGGAAGCACCAAAGGCAGAACCAGTTGCAGAGGCCCCCCCGGCTCCAGCCCAGGAAGCAAAACCGGAGGAGCCGGCTGCTGAGGCCCCTAAGGCAGAGCCGGTCACAGGGGGGAGTACCGAAACAGCCGTAGAGGCACCGAAGACTGAGGAGCCAGTTGCCGAGGCACCAAAGGTTGAGGAGGCAGCCGCAAAGGCGCCCAAGACAGAGGAGCCAGCTGCCGAGGCACCAAAGGTCGAGGAGCCAGCTGCCGAAGCACCAAAGGCTGAAGAGGCAGCCGCCGAGGTGCCGAAGACTGAGGAGCCAGCTGCCGAGGCACCAAAGGTTGAGGAAGCAGCTGCAGAAGCACCGAAGACTGAGCAGCCAGCTGCCGAAGCACCAAAGGTCGAGGAACCAGCTGCCGAGGCACCAAAGGCTGAAGAGGCAGCCGCCAAGGTGCCGAAGACTGAGGAGCCAGCTGCCGAGGCACCAAAGACTGAAGAGGCAGCCGCCGAGGTGCCGAAGACTGAAGAGGCAGCCGCAGAGGCACCGAAGGCT